CTCAATTACCCGTTGCAACATTGTTGCGAACGGGTAATTGAACAGTAAGTAGCCGTCCTTTGTTCTCGGGGGTGGCCGCCATTCGACAAACGAACACATGGCGGCGGCCATTTTAAAACTCCCGAACAGCGGTGTTTTGCCGTCGAGTGTCTGGAACTAAAATCGGACACTCGAGTAGGCGAACACCGCTGAGACCTCCACAGCCCTGGTCCGTTCGGTTCCAAACTACCGAACGGCCCCTCGTTCGGTAAATAGAAGAATACCGAACGAGGGGATTCAGGCGAACCCTCCCTAGCCTCTATAGCTAGAGGCTTTCGTGTATTTTATTCCCTTATGCCAGGACCGACCGCAAGGCCCATTCACATGGAACCGAATTCGGCTATCTCTGTTCGTGCGGTCGGTCATTTTATTCCCTCCATACTTTTCCCGAACCCCTGGTCCGATCTGGGTGATTTTTGGATATGTTGTTCACCCAGATCAGGGCTATCAGGGGGTGTAGGATTTAAAGGGGTACCCCTACGTTTAGGGGTACATCCAGAAACGGGGGGAATTGGTGTGCTGGATAAGGGGATTATGATGCTGGCTGAGGGGAGGGGATGTGTGGGAGGTTACCAGGACAGGATTGGCTACTGTAATAATTACTGTAAATCCCTCCCTTGCATGGGAGCATGCTTTATAAGGAGACTGTGATTAAAGGCTTGTCAGTTATGCTCCTGAAACTGTGTGTCGTCCAGTTATTGGGATTGCTGTTGGGATATTGCTGTATTTTACCTGCTGGAAACCCTGCCTTTGGATTTACTATCTACTTGTTCCTGAGTCTCACTTGGATTATAAGCGGAGTTAACCTGGGTAATATTGCATCTCCGCTACAAAGACATATAAAAAAATTTAAATGTAATGAAGGACAGGAATACCCGATAAAGGAATTTATAACATGCCATTCAAAAAACCTTGTATACCTTATAAAATGCCCATGTGGGCTAAATTATATAGGGAAGACAACAAGAGCTCTACACCTAAGAATAGAAGAGCATGGTAGAAACATTAGTAAAGGTTTCGAAAAACATAGCGTGTCCTTACATTATAAAATCCACCATAATTGTGAGATAAAAGGTACAATTTTTATGGGAATTAATAAAATTTCTAAAGATTGGAGAGGAGGCAATTTTGACTCAAAATTGAGCAAAGTAGAAATGGAATGGATTTTTAAACTTAATAGCCTCATTCCCAACGGTTTGAATTCCGATTTTGAAATGTGCCACTTTTTAACGGATTAATTTTTAAAAAAAATGATTTTTTAATGAAAAAATTTTTAATTCGTTAATTTTTCAATTTTTAACTTTTAATTTTTCTTTCTTTTTTCTTACCATAGAGTATCACTCTCCTCCCAGTTTCTTCTAGTAGCAAGTTTTGACATTCTTCCTTTTCATTATATTCTATTTTTTCTTAGATATATCTGTTCAAATTATATGGGGTACATCTATTGGAATAAGAGTTTTTTGGATTTACTATTTGTGTACAAAATTGCCTTCTCCTCATTATCCTATATGGTTTTATCCATTGACAAAATATATACCAATATTATTTAAAACTTCCTTTATGTATTAATTAATTAAGGCTTTTTATATGTTTTTCAATATGTCTGTCATCTTATCTACATGCCACTAGAATAAGCTGTGGTATACACTTTTATTTGCCATATGTAACTGTTTATGGCAGATTTACATATGCTTTGTCTTATATATGGGGAATATACACATTTATGCCTGTGTATATGCAGTCATTATTTGCATATTAACAAGTCATTGCGCCCTTTTGATCTGCTGTTTCTTCGAGGAAAATATTTTTTGGCATTGGATACTAGAACTGCAGCCGCACGGTGGAACGCACCGTGGAACGCACCGTGGAAAGAACCGTGGAACGCATGACGCAAGATCGGCCGAAACCGGAAGTGATCATACCCGGAAGTAACCAGACGGAAAAGAGGCTTGGAATACAGGGCATCTCAATTACCATGGAGATTGCCCGCGAAAAAGACAAGCTACAAGCCTAACTAAGGGGATATAAAAGCAGGAAGGAGTCCTTGGAGTCTCATGAACATTTTTCCAGCTGAGGAAGCCAATTTGGTGAAACGCGTCCTGGATGAACAGTGAGCAGACTATACTGTCTTTTGGACTATAGCCACAAGTGTTGATTTTATTGATATAGTGTATTTTTTATATTTATGTAATACTTTTTATACAATAAATTATATATATATTTGTATCACACTTACGGCTTTTATTCCTACCTGCTACTATAAAGAAGGATTGTGGTCCTTAACCACATACATCTTATGAAGTGAGCCGGTACATTGGCTCAGGGTTTGTGAGTATATTGGTATTATTTATTATATATACCTTATATACATCAGACTGTACTACGCTATTTCTTCCTCCTATACCTATTACCTAGGACAATATACCTGGAGACAATTTGGACGAAAAGGAGGGGAAGGGTCGCCTCTACGGACCCTAAGGCGCATATACCTGAGCTAGTACATTAGCTCAGAAAAGTGTGAGTGAATTACCTATGCACTTTATTTCGATTTATTTTTGGTATACAGGTTACACTATGTTCTGTATGTTTGTGTTTTGTATTTAAGGTAAACCTGACTACATTGGGACTACCCATAAGTGTATGTAACCCATCAAGGTATAGCAAGGTTTTCGTTTATTTGTTTTTTCACATCCACTAGCATAGAGCGCTACACCGATACTTCTCACTTTTCCACCATTTTCCTATAGAAAGATAAGCACGGTGGTATAGCAGCTCATTCCAAATCTGTTTGGTATAATGCTAATCTTTAATTTTATATAGAAGCGCTTGTACTCCCTATTTGAATGTATATCCCTGATAATGAATTTTACAATTGGTTTTGCATATAAAATTCAGTTCTATCAGCATAGAATATTTCCAGATCTGGTGATATTATGAGAGATTCATGGTTATTTATGTTTAAAGGGAATATGTAGTATGATGTTATGGATTTAAGGGGAGCACTGAATTTCACACTGCATGAGACCATTAAACATAAAATGGTGATTAAACATAAAGATGGCTCTTAAAATAACATCTATATATGCTCAAGGTTTAAACTGTGAAAAGGGACTAACTATATAAAATTTTAATTAAAGATAAAATCGACTTATGTTATATAAAGGAAACCCATTGCAAAAGTGAGGGGCCGGGTCTTTGGACATTTTCGAAATATCCCATAGACCTGAGTTCTAATTTAACAAATAAAAAAAGAGTAGCCATTTTATGTTCAGCAAAAATTGAATTTGAACTGCTATACATAGAGAAAGATATAGCAGGCAGATTCATTTTGTTAATATGTAAGTTAAACAACCAGATCTACACTTTATGTAACCTATATGCCCAAAACTAATTTTCTTAAAATTTTTATAAAAATTGTTTGCTATGATAAACAGAGTCAAAAAGGGAGTACTATTAATAGGGGGAGACTGGAATACTGTGTAAATAATATTTTAGATAGAGAAACTGGTGGATCTAAGAAATTGCGAAAGATATATATAAAAAAATCAAGATATATGCAAGAGCTTTTTAACACGTATAATCTTTATGATATTTAGAGGGTCCACTACCTTAGGAAAAAAATACTTCACCTACTGTTCTAAACTTCATAACACCTACTCTAGAATAGACTTTTTTTCTGACTGATTTGATTAATTTAAAACAGATGATAAGTTCCCATATAAGTCCTATCACATGGACTGATCATGCCCCTATAGGAGTTAAAACGAAATGTAATCCGGATTATAATACTAATGAATGAAAGAATTCCCATGGAACTGGAAAAATTAGAGCATTTAATTGGTTTAGCTAAGGAGCTTCTCAGATTTAACGATAATCTTTGATGTATATTTAAATGCATGATGAGTGGTAATTTAATCCAACTAGAAGCTAATTGTAAAAAACAAAAAGGAGCCGACCTGGCAGATTTATATATTAAATTGGAATATCTGAAAAAGGACAATCGAAAGGATCCTAAACCATGTTTTATTAATCAGATTAAATTGGTTTAATCTCAAATTAATCGGACATTGGAAGATAAAGTAGAAAAGATGATTAGGAAATGTAATCAAAATTGATAAAGTAATAATAAAATAGGAACATTTTTCTCTCCAATAGGCTTCAACTACAGGGAGTGCAGAATTATTAGGCAAATTAGTATTTTGACCACATCATCCTCTTTATGCATGTTGTCTTACTCCAAGCTGTATAGGCTCGAAAGCCTACTACCAATTAAGCATATTAGGTGATGTGCATCTCTGTAATGAGAAGGGGTGTGGTCTAATGACATCAACACCCTATATCAGGTGTGCATAATTATTAGGCAACTTCCTTTCCTTTGGCAAAATGGGTCAAAAGAAGGACTTGACAGGCTCAGAAAAGTCAAAAATAGTGAGATATCTTGCAGAGGGATGCAGCACTCTTAAAATTGCAAAGCTTCTGAAGCGTGATCATCAAACAATCAAGCGTTTCATTCAAAATAGTCAACAGGGTCGCAAGAAGCGTGTGGAAAAACCAAGGCGCAAAATAACTGCCCATGAACTGAGAAAAGTCAAGCGTGCAGCTGCCACGATGCCACTTGCCACCAGTTTGGCCATATTTCAGAACTGCAACATCACTGGAGTGCTAAAAAAGCACAAGGTGTGCAATACTCAGAGACATGGCCAAGGTAAGAAAGGCTGAAAGACGACCACCACTGAACAAGACACACAAGCTGAAACGTCAAGACTGGGCCAAGAAATATCTCAAGACTGATTTTTCTAAGGTTTTATGGACTGATGAAATGAGAGTGAGTCTTGATGGGCCAGATGGATGGGCCCGTGGCTGGATTGGTAAAGGGCAGAGAGCTCCAGTCCGACTCAGGCGCCAGCAAGGTGGAGGTGGAGTACTGGTTTGGGCTGGTATCATCAAAGATGAGCTTGTGGGGCCTTTTCGGGTTGAGGATGGAGTCAAGCTCAACTCCCAGTCCTACTGCCAGTTCCTGGAAGACACCTTCTTCAAGCAGTGGTACAGGAAGAAGTCTGCATCCTTCAAGAAAAACATGATTTTCATGCAGGACAATGCTCCATCACTCGCGTCCAAGTACTCCACAGCGTGGCTGGCAAGAAAGGGTATAAAAGAAGAAAATCTAATGACATGGCCTCCTTGTTCACCTGATCTGAACCCCATTGAGAACCTGTGGTCCATCATCAAATGTGAGATTTACAAGGAGGGAAAACAGTACACCTCTCTGAACAGTGTCTGGGAGGCTGTGGTTGCTGCTGCATGCAATGTTGATGGTGAACAGATCAAAACACTGACAGAATCTATGAATGGCAGGCTTTTGAGTGTCCTTGCAAAGAAAGGTGGCTATATTGGTCACTGATTTGTTTTTGTTTTGTTTTTGAATGTCAGAAATGTATATTTGTGAATGTTGAGATGTTATATTGGTTTCACTGGTAATAATAAATAATTGAAATGGGTATATATTTGTTTTTTGTTAAGTTGCCTAATAATTATGCACAGTAATAGTCACCTGCACACACAGATATCCCCCTAACATAGCTATAACTAAAACAAACTAAAAACTACTTCCAAAAATATTCAGCTTTGATATTAATGAGTTTTTTGGGTTCATTGAGAACATGGTTGTTGTTCAATAATAAAATTAATCCTCAAAAATACAACTTGCCTAATAATTCTGCACTCCCTGTAGATAAGATAAATTTGAATATAAAGAAAATCATAGTAGGAGATAATATTTATCCTCATCAAATAGGGAAAGCTTTTACAGACTACTATGCCAATCTCTATAATTTGCCATGGGACAGACCACTAGCTTCTGATTTTAAAACCTTTTTAACCCCTTAAGGACACAACTTCTGGAATAAAAGTGAATCATGACGGAATATTTCCATCATGTGTCCTTAAGGGGTTAAAGAAAATCAAACTACCTTCAATAAATTTAGAAAAAAACTAAAGGAACTAAACAAGCCCATATCTCAAGAGGAAATTAAAAAAGCCTGTCAGATCTCTCCTGAGGGATTTCCTTCCCTGTCTCTACACTCTCCACGTTCTTTCCCCTGTTTGCCTTGTTTTTCTTCTATCTGGGCACCAGGTCAGAGCAGTTTTCTCTTCATCCCCTCATCCCCCTTGATCAATACCTGCGTCTGCTCAGGTTAGGCCATCCAAAGTTCTCAAACCTCGGCACGACTCCTTCCTTGGATGGATGACATTCTGTCACAAAACCTGGATACGTCTGTCATTGGGGAAGGGGGCTTACATTCTATATGCATACTAGGCATCGCTAAAATGTCACGGTGCACTGAACAAAATTATCTGTTTTTTTGTTTTTTCTTCTTCATACTGATGCCAGAATTTCAGACCTCGTGTTCATAGAACTAGGTCCCTGGACCGAGGACCGAGGACCTATTCTGGTGGGTAACAAGCTTCAGAATTTCACAATTGCGTGGACCTAGATGATCCATTCAACTATATCCTATCTTCAGGCTGACAAACGTCCTATTGGGCCCTACTTGGATTTCCTTGACGGGCTGAACTTCAGCTGGGTAATAAAATTCAGCCATTTGGTCTACTCCACTCTCAATCTATATCGACAGCAGTCCCAGGGGTGGAAATCCAAAATCTGTACCCTGTCCAACATGGACTGATTCTGTTGCTCGTTTTCTTCTACACCATCCTTCTAGTTCAAATGTTGTTGGACGAATTTACACACTGCCATAAACCCCGGATTCTGTATACTGCTGTTTAATTTGCCAACATTGCTGCACCCCCTGTGGAATGACCGGCCACTGCTGGTCCACCTGTATACCCTTCAATTCAAATTTGACCCTATGTGTTCCACCAAGCGGTTAGAACCAGTGACAGCTCATCTTCAGGTCTAAATACCCCCATTACTTCATGAATCCAGATTGCTATTATTCTTCTACAATGACGCCTTCGGCCGAAAATCTCAACCTCTATTTATGCCCCCCTAGTTCGTATCTCGAGGCTTCAGAGTTTACCCCTCGAGTTGGGTTCTTGGGATTTTTTGATTGAGGCACCCTTAAGAGTTCTTTGACTACCACTAGCCCGCATGGTGTTTTTTTTTTCTTAGATGAAGACCATTCACCGCTTAGATCAAAGGGGAATGGATGGACTCCATTCGGTCCTGTCCCGAGTTTTATCATGGCTCAGATGCGGATATTGAAGTTGGAGAACTGTGTCAAGTGTTGTTACTCCTGTGTCTGTCTCCCTCCAAGTCAATGGTGTTACCATCAGTTCCACCATACAGGCTCGCTGCCTAGGTGTTCTCTTTGACTCCGACTTCTCCTTCAAGCCTCATGTTCAATTTATCGCAAAAATCCTGTCATTTCCATCTCAAAAACATTGCGCGCATCCGCCCCTACTTAACGCCAGATAAGACTAAAGTGTTGGTCCATTCCACTGTCCTTTCTCGCCTTGACTACTGTAATCCACTTTTCAGTGGTCTTACGTGCTCCTAGCTTGTGCCGTTACAGTCCATAATGAATGCGACGGCGAGGCTCATCTTCCTGTCTGCCCGCACCTCCCATGCCTCACCCTTCTGTCAGTCCCTACATTGGTTTACTATAAAATATAGAGCTCAATTTAGATGCTCACCCAGTCTCCACTCATTCAAAAAATCATTAAAAACCCACTTCCTCATAAAAGCGTATCAATTAAACTGTTAATAGCTTCTGACTGCTTCCTCTTCTGCAACTGTCACTAGTCTAATACTATCCTTACCGTTTGTGTCATTTTACCCCACTCCCTCTAGCATGGAAGCTCATTGAGCAGGGCCCTAAACCCTTCTGTTCCTGTGTGTCCATCTTGTCTGGTTACAACTACATGTCTGTTCGTCCACCCATTGTAAAGCGCTGCGGAATTTGACGGCGCTCTATAATATCATAATAATAATAATAATAATAATAATAATAATAATAATAAAAAAATCTAAAGATAAAATAGTTTTGCTAAACTTGTTAATAAAAAAATATACAACAAATAGATTTTAGAAAATAGGTAAGATGTAAAATTTAGATGTAAATTTTAAGGCTATCTATTATGGGTTTCCAGTTACTGAGCAAGAATTGATTTTAAGCAAAGAATCTTAAACTGTTTTGTGGGAAAATAACAAAATATGAGCTTCTGAGAAATATCTGATTACCCAAGTGAATTATTTGTTTTAGTTAAAAAAAACAAGTAGTCAGCCTGTTCAAATTAATATGTTTTTCTTTTACTCTGTTGAGACAATTCTGCATTTCTCAAAGCAATTAGGATTGCTTTAATGCTCAGTCCTGAAAAGTATAAAAATGGGTACTGCTTCTGGGAATTTTTAGATGCAACAGTTTCCACATGGAAAGGTGTTTGATTATCTGGTAAGCTTGAGATTAATTGTAACTGTAAAGATTTCACACCAACTCTATATTTTGAGAACATATATTGTAATGTAAATGTATAACATGTTGAAAACATGGAAATATATTGAAAACATGGAATTATATAGGATATGATTGTGTATGTTATTTTTGTGTACATACATTTTATGTTTGTTTCTCCTATAGTGTAAGAGAAGAAATGTAATATTAAGTTACATAAATGTTGGATTGGCTAGTAACTGGGTTTAGCACACAAGTACATATTAGAAATTAATCTGCAAAGGCTTTCAACATTTCATCTGTATTGTGTTTATTATTCTATAAAATATTTTTTTTTATACCCAAATATCATGTTTACGAATTAGCTAACAAATATTTTGATGAGCTTTCATTTTACTTAATTGAAATAACTTTTACAAATTGCATGTTTGCATTAGTTAATTAATTTTAGACATGATCATCAACAGTTTCTGCTCATCCTCCGTAATCTTGGTCCACGAGATATTGCTCTGTCCTGGTGCTCTTCCTTCTCTCCCAGCACTCATTCAGTGTTTCTTTCTCTGGCTCTGCCTCTTCTCCCCAATTCCTCTCTGTTAGTGTTTCCCAAGGATCTGTCCTTGGTCCCCTATTGTTCTCAATCTACACTGTCTCCCTTGGTAAACTCATCAGCCCCTTTGGCTTCCAGTATCATTTCAATGCAGATGACACACAAATGTATCTGTTCTCCCCTGATTTCTCACCACCCCTTTTGACTCAAGTCTCTGAATGCCTCTCTGCTTTTTCCAACTGGATGGCTGCTCATTTCCTTAAACCGAACCTGTCCAAAACAGAACTTCCCTCCCTCAAGTGTTGCTACTCCCTTGTCTGTGTCCCTCCAAGTCAATGGTGCTACCATCCGCTCTACCTCTAAGGCTCGCTGCCTAGGTGTTCTCTGTGACTTTGACCTCTCCTTCACTGCTCATGTTCACTGGTAAACTGTTGTAAAACTGTTGTAAAACCAATTGTCTTTAAATTGACATTACATTTTCTTCTTATTTTAGGAAAAGGACCATCAAAATAACTGACCGAGTTCTTTCATTAAACAATGTGTGAGGATAACCAGACTCAAGTTCCAGCATTTCTGCTCTTGGGGTTCCAGGGATTATACCATCTAAAAGGCCTTCTCTTCATGCTGTTCTTACTAATCTACACTGCAATACTGTGTGGAAATCTTCTCATCATCATACTGGTGACAACTATTGACCATCTTAAAGTGCCAATGTTTTACTTCCTCAAACACTTAGCTTTAGCTGATGTGTTTCTCACCACAAGCGTTATGCCATTTACACTAAATATTATAATAATGGAAGAGAGGATAGTGCCTATTTCTGGCTGTTTAACCCAACTCTATCTTTTTGCTATATTTGGGTTTGTGCAGTGCTTTCTCCTTGCAGTGATGTCCTACGATAGATACCTAGCAATTCGTCAACCATTCAGTTACACCTTAATAATGACTCCTAATGTTTGTCTCTCGCTGGTTTCTGGGTCCTGGATGCTAGTTTTTGTTTTACTCTCCAGTGAATTTGTGATAATGTGTCAGTTAAAATTTTGTGGTCTTAATTATTTAGACCATTTCTTCTGCGACTTTGGTCCCATAGTGGCACGATCTATATCTGACACATCACTTTTAACCACATTGGACTTCTACATCTCAATCAATGTGATATTTGTCCCGTTTGTTTTTATTGTCATCACCTACATTTTAATTTCATTTACATTCATTAGCATTTCTTCTAAAGCTGGAAGGAGAAAGTTTATTTCCACCTGTAGTTCCCACCTCATCTCTGTGTGCACTTATTACGTGTCTCTAATAATAGTTTATATGTTTCCATCTGGGGAAGACTCTGTCAATGTGAATAAGTTCAGATCTTTGTTGTACATTGTAGGGA